CATCAAACATCTTAATATAAATGGATCAGAATGTGCAATGCTAACTATTTGTTTGTCAGAGACTTGATTAAAGAAAAAGCAACATGACAATCCTAATAATTAATTGGTGATACACTGTTATTTAGCTTTTGTAAAACACACCATGTTAAATATTTTCCCAACAAAATGTAACAGAAGTAGCCTCAAAATTGTCTTGTGTCTATATTATAATACTCAACAAAGTGTCAGGCTACTATGTTGTGGGGGGATGCTTATACTTGCAGCAGCCCCCAGATCCTCCTCATGGCCAAGTCTCAGGTGTTCTAACAAACAAAGCTTAGGTACTTCCTGATAGTCAAAGCTTGCTGGCCCCTTCCTACTGCCTACACATTTCTATTGGCAGGGTATTAAATCCGCGTTCCAGTGTGTTCAGCCTCTGGAACGCAAGGCGGCTGGCTCCCTTCATTCAGGGGCGGGAGGGTTCGTGGCGGTGCATTGAAGTCAATGGCACCGCAGCCACGCCCCGCAGGCAGGCTCCAACGCCCCCCCCCCCCCCCCCCCCCCCCCCCCGCCCGCAGTGCGATCGCCCACACATGGAAAGCAGCAGAACGCAGGCACATTAGTGCTTGCGTTCTGCAAAAATAGTGCATGCAGTATTGATGCAGAACGCACTGGACCGGAATGTTTTTTTACATTTTACACTGGGGTGCCTTGGGATTTTGAATACTTTTAAAGGGTGCTGCGACTGAAAAAAGGTTGAGAATTTGTGCTGCACATGTTACATATCGCCGCGAATGTCTGAGTGAGAGCAAATATTTTAGGGCCATTAATCACTGATAACACTAAACTGATGAGCGGTAAAAGCTTTTAAAGCGACGCCTATGGCCAATTTTGGGTATGGTAGTTTTCTGCAATTTTGCGGGCGAGCGCAATTTTAAAGCTTGACATGTTTGATGTCTATTTACCCAACGTGACCCCGTCTCTTATATTTTACCAAAAAATTGGGGTAATGTTTCATTTTGTTATATAGTAAAAAATAAACCCCCCAGTGGTGATTAAATACCACCAAAAGAAAGCTCTATCTTTCCCCAAACAATGGTATAAAATGTATTTCAGTACAGCGCTGCATGACGGAATAAACGTCAGTCAAAGTACCGCAGCGCTAAATACTGAAAAATGACCTGGACAGGAAGGGGTGTAACACCCCGGTCAGCAAGTGGTTAAAGCCCAACTCTAGCCAAAACTTTTTTCTGTCAAGGTAGATTGGGAAAGGGTTTCAATTTTTTTCTGTTGGTATCACTGGAATATATCTCTGCTCAATTCTTGTCTATTTGACAGGTATGGGGCTGAACAAAAAGGAAGTAAACCTCCTCACTTCCTGTCTATTTAATAGGTGTCAGGCAGAACAGGAAGTGAGAGGAAATACCCCCAACATGTGTACAGACAGCCACACATTTTTTTCCAGTAGATTGAGGAATATTTAGAATCGTTTTTTGTATCCCCATTGGGAAGATTTTGCCTCCTTTCTACGTGATAAGTGTCAGAAGAGCGAGATAAATCTTTTGTTGTTCTCTTGCATAGGAAACATTTCCTTTCCCTAAATTATCAGATTGTTCCCCTGCTTGATGGCCACTTAAAAAATGTTAGCTGAAGTTCAAATTAAAAGAGAACTATGGGGTGTTTTTCCCCACAGTTCTCTAAGGGTCATGAGAGGACACAAAGTAGCGTCACCCAAAGCTCAGTATATGGCGAGCTACAGCTTGCGGTATACTGAGACCGCCGCAGCCGGGACGGATCCCGACATTACTGTCGAGATCCACCCAGCTGCCTGAGTGACAGCTGGCTCTGCCTATCTAGAGGCAGAGCCAGCTGTACCCGCCCCCTCTCCCGTCCGTCCTTCCAGTCAGCGCTGGAGGATCGGAGCGGGGGGAATCCCTGCAGGGAATGGTGACTGACAGTCACGGCTCTCTGCAGGGAGATGAGCGACCGTATGCGTTCGCTCACTTTCCGATCTATTGAGCCGACGTGTGACAGCTTCATTGTCACACGTCAGCTCGAACTATGAGGTTGAGTGATTTTCTCCTTTAAATTTGTTAGTCAAGTCCATCTATCTCTACTAGAGGGCCACCGAAATTGAATTTTCAGACCGAAACCGAAAAGAAAAAAAATAGAAACCGTAGCCATAAATTATTTGTTTTTCTAACCTTTTTAAAAAATGTTTTTTAATGTTTTTTTTATTTTTATTTATTTTTTACTTTACTCTCAGGGGCTGTGGGGAAATATCAGAACTCTAAACAGGTCTTTACCTTTTGAAATAGAAAAGAGATTAAGGACACAGAGTCCAAAATCTCTTTTTTTCTGCAGCTCCTGCACTGAATGAACAGGAAGCCTCTATACTGAGTGCTCCTGTCCATTCATAAACTGTAGAGATAGTATGAGTTACTATGTCCACAATCATGAATGAACAGGAAGTGATGTAGAGCACTTCCTATTCATTCATAATTGAGGATATAGTAAACATACCATGCCCCCGAGTAATTTTCAAACACTCAGCGATCAACACTTTTAGGGCGCTATTGTGCCATCCTGGCGTTTTTATACGATAGGTTTTACAACAGACAGTAAAGGAAACAGTTTTTCTAAGAAGTGTTGATCATTTTTCCTTGATATAGTGAAAAATAGAATAAAAAAAATCGTGAAAAGAAAGCTCTATCCATCTCCAAATTAATGACACTGGGTTAGTACTACATGATCGAGTTTTTTGTATTTCTTCCAGATCTGTGCAGTGATCTGGAAGAACACTTGGAGCTTCCTATAAAAAAAAGACCGGTCACTGCTGCTCTCTCTCTTTGTGCAGGGTGACTGGTCTTGTCTCCGCCCCCCTCCTGTAATAAAGACCGCTCACTGCTGCTCTCTCTCTCTTTGTGCAGGGTGACTGGTCTTATCTCCACCCCCTACTGTAACAAAGACCAATCCCTGCTGCTCTCTCCTTGTGCAAGGTGACTGGTCTTGTCTCCGCCTCCTCCTGTAATAAAGACCGCTCACTGCTGCTATCTCCTTGTGCAGGGTGACTGGTCTTGTCTCCGCCCCCTCCTGTAATAATGACCACTCACTGCTTCTCTCTTTTTTTGTGCAGGGTAACTGGTCTTGTCTCCACCCCTTCCTGTAACAAAGACCACTCACTGCTTCTCTCTTTCTTTGTGCAGGGTGACTGGTGTTATCTCCACCCCCCGCTGTAGCTTTCTGTAGGCAGCCTGTAGTGGGTGGAGCCTGGTAAGCCCCTCCCATAGCTCTGCTCTCTGCACAGTCTATGTACAGCACAGTGATGACGTCACTGATACTTTCTATAAGGCCACATGGATTTATATCCTTTGTGGCTATTGAGGAATATATGTAAATGAAAGCTTGTGTGCCCGGAGTTCAGCGTTAAGGAAGGATAAGGATGACAACCTTGTCATAGACCTTTGAATCCAAGTTTCCCATTGGAAAGGGGGAAAAAAAGTGTCTTAGGCCTCATTCACACACAACGCAAGAGCAAAATTGTACACATATTTGTAAATGCGTGAACTGTATGCAATCCCAGAATGCATCAGTTTCAATGGAAACTTTATTGTACTGTACACGTGTACACAGGCAGACACATGTGCACGCGCGCGTAAAATACACAGAAATTCCGAGCCTGGACGCATCTCAGTTCAATATTTTTTTGCGCATCTTTACGCAGCGCAAAAATACGGCTCCAGGCGCAGCTATGTGCATGGAGCCATTTATTTGCATATGGGGAAAAAAACGCTGCACGTGTGAAGGACTACAATCTCAATACAAACTAGTAGTCCATCACTGGAGCCATTTTTAATTTTTTTTTGTATTGTTTATCCGATTAATCGAACTTAATAATCGGCTAACTAATCGATTTTGAAAATAATCGTTAGCTGCAGCTCTAGCACGCATCTATACGCATTGTGCTATACGGCAGTGTGAATGAGGTCTTAGGCTCTGTTCTCGCATTAGCATTTTTCCGCACCAAACACAAAAACGAATACATTCTAATGTAGCTTGTTCACACCTGCGCATCGTCCACGCGGCACACAAAAACGCGCATTGTGCAAAAAAGGTACAAGTGCGACATTCTGGGTGACTTCCGCTCGTTCCGGCTACAGTAGGAGCCGCAAACGTGTGGAAACCGTGGATGTGTTTGGGGGGGTCGTGCGTGCGGACAGGCGGAAAACCGCACTGCATTCAAACCGCTATGTGTGAACGGAGCCACAGTTCTAGCTCATGTTTTGCAGTTGCCCCTAGCAACCTGCGTACCAGTTGATACAAATTTTGTCTCAGACACAATGAGGGGAATTTAACAGACAAAAATTGGTGCAGCTGTGAATGGCAACCAATCAGCTTCCCTGTTTCATTTTCAAATCTTACCTGAGCAAACGGAAGAGAGAAGCTGATTGGTTGCCATGCACAGCTGCTCCAGTTTTTATACATTCTCCCCATTGTTATCACTTCCCCCCACACTGCACCATCTCAAACTGCGGCAGAACATTACATTCAACCACAAAGAGGAACATAAACGGCAAATTAGGACATAGCTAGAGATTTCCAGTGACAGACCGCCCACAGGAGGTCATGGCCAGCGAGCACTGCCACCTATCGGCACCCAGCTACAATGAGCTCCGTCACTAATGTCCGCCGTCCATGATAAAGCAATTCCAGTGACAGTCTTGTCACCGCAAGCGCGGCTTGACGAAATCTCGCGAGACTCCCGGGGCAGAGATCACGAGATCTGCTGCGACGCGCCGGGGCCTCCATCCGGAGGAGAAACAGCTTCTTGCTCGCTGGAGATGGAGGAATGACGCTCTCGCGATACTTGTCAGTGGAGGGGGCGGGGGCAGAGGGGAGGGGGAACCCTGCAGTCAGCAAGTCTCGCGAGATACTGACATACAGGCCTTGCTAGCCGGGCTAAATCTCGCGAGGTTAGCCCCGACTAGCTGGGCAGACAAGGGAGGCGTGGCCAGCAGGAAGGGGTCTCGCGAGACTAGGCGCCGCGGCTCTTGCGCTCACGGGTCCAGCAGTCAGTAGGGGCTTTGGGCTGTGTTAAGATGGCGGAGGCGGCTGGAGTTTGGAGCTGAGTTTGCTGACCCGATCAGGTAAACGGTGCTGCGTGCCGGTAGGGCGCTGGAGGAGGGTTTAAATGAAGGCGGGTGGCTGACAGACGGGGGCACCTCACGGGTAGCGGCGGTCCCCTC